ATGGGCAGTGTTGGGGTGTCTCTCCTGCAGTTCCACAAGCCCAGCCTGGGTACCATGAGCCCAGCCTGGATGTGTGAGCCCAGCCTGGATGTGTGAGCCCAGCCTGAGTGTGTGAGCCCAGCCTGGGGGTGTGAGGCCAGCCTGAGTGTGAGCCCAGTGGGGTGTGTGAGCCCAGCCTGGGTGTGTGAGCCCAGCCTGGCCAACACGAGCCCTGTGCTGCAGGGATGGTGCTGTCTGTGCTGGTGATCCTGCTGCTGTCTGTGCTCTACGAGGCCCTGAAGATGGGCAAGGCCGTGCTGCTGCGGCGGGCGCTGCTGGCACTGCCCCGCAGCCTCAGCCAGGAGGCCCTGACGGAGCCACAGGAGGGGGACACTGACCCTGCGCAGGGCAGGTACCTCAGAGACCCCCCTTTGCACCCTCTGGTGGGCAGTGGGGGGCTCAGGGAGGGGGCTGTGTCCCCTTGGCCAGTGCAGGAGGGGAGAAGGGCTCTAAGGAGGCAGCTGAGGAGTTCCAGGGAACTGCTTTCCCCCAGGAAAGGGCTGTTTGTACAGCCTGGGGAGGTGGCTCCAGGGGCATCCCAGTCCCTCCTGGCGCTCTGGGAGATGTCTAAAAGCTCATTTTTCCCCCAAGAGCCATTGTGGGTGCAGGAGGGTCTTCATGGTTCAGGGATGGGCACAAGCAGCAGATTCCCAGCAATTCCTTCCTTTGGAGCCCTGGGTTTTTCCTCTCATGTTTAATCCCTGAGGCTGCTCTTAACTGCCAACTTCTTAATAATGTCCTCCCCTATAACATCCTATTTTTCTTAATAAAATCCCCTTTGGGGCAGGATTTCCCCCTGTGGTGCTGTTTGCAGCCCCCATCCCTCTCCCTGCTCCCCAAGCCCATCCCTGACTGCTCCGGGATCCTGGCCAGGAGGGGGACATGGGCTGTCCTAGCCCCTCAGTGATGGGGTTTCCCATCTTGTCCCGCAGGTGGTTCCGGTACCACGTCGGGCAGACGCTGTTCCACGTGCTGCAGGTGGTGCTGGGCTACCTGGTGATGCTGGCTGTGATGTCCTACAACGCCTGGATCTTCCTGGGGGCCATCGCTGGCTCCACGCTGGGCTATTTTGTGGTGTACCCCCTGCTCGGCCGGGGTTAGACCCCCCTGGGGCGGTGGGACACGGGCCCCCACCTCCTGCTGCTCTGTCTGGAATAGCTGCTGTCCCTTCTGCTGGCTCTGTCCCTGTCCCCTGTGCCGGGGGGGACGCAGAGCCCCAGGGACTTGCTGTGGGGCTCTCGGTGCTGGCCCCGCTGTGAGGGGGCAGTGCTGGGGACAGGGAGCCCCACGGCCAGCACTGCCACGCTGGTGGCTGTCCCCTGGCTCTCAGGGACCTCTGGCTGGGAGGTGACAGCGAGGGGGTGCTGGGCATTTCCTTCCCCTCCCCACTTTTCGAGGAGGTTCATCCTGGCTGGAACGGGAATGGTCCGGTGACTTGCTGGGGAAGGGGACATGCCGGGGACAGGGCCCCCTGCCCTCCTGCCCCACAGCTGCCCTGCACCAAGCCCCTCTTCACACAGTGCCTTCTGGGGATGCTGGGGGGTCCTGCTGCCCCTCACCCACCCCCCTCCTGCCAGTGCTTCAGGGATGGGGTCGGAGCAGCCCCTGAGCCAGGGGGACAGTGCTGCTCCAGGTGCCTCTTGCTGCTTCCTCAGGACACCCCTTTTAATAAAATCATCTCAGTCACTCTGCTCCTGCTTTGTGTCACTGCTGGGTGCTCTCAGGATGTGACACCCCCTGGTCACAGTAGGAATTGGGGTCCCCAGCCCTACTCCCCAGGAGGGAGGTTCAGGAATAAGGACAGCCTCCTCTGGCTTTAAATAAAGCTTTCCCGTTTTATTAATTATTATAAGCATATCTTTAAACATTTGTATATCTTTCTTAATAAAATATCCTGGAAGAGACAGATTTTAAGTTTCCCAAAGCAAGGCACTTTTTGGGGGGCCTCCCCGAGTGGGTTAGGCTGGGCACCCCCCCTGTGGGGCAGGAACTGGCACCTGAAGCACAGGTGAGTGTCGGGTGCTGGGCCCTGCTGGGTGCACACACTGCACGTGTCTCACCCCCCTCCCCGAGTCCTGCAGATCCCCCCCAGCCCCAGGGCTTTTGGCATCCCTGTGGGGGGGCTGCAGCCGTCCCACCCCCCTCCCCACAGTGGGCAGGGCTGCTGGGAGGGGGGTCAGCAAACCACAGCTCTTTACTCGACCCTCGCTGCAGGTGCCAAAACCCGCCAAGCCTGAGAGCTGGAGAAACGATCCGAGCACGGAAATGGGCAGCTCCAGAGGGCAAGGGCTGGGATCCCTCCACTGCACAGCAAGCTGAGTGAGCCTGGAGACAGCCCAGTCCTGCCAGGCACGGCTGGGGACACGGCGTGAGTGCCACCTTCCCCCAGAGGTGTCACTCTGAACTTAAATAGCTGCTAGAGGACCCCGGGGTGAGGGTGACCTGTGAGCCCAGCTTGGGTGCTGTGAGCCCAGCCTGGACAACATGAACCCAGCCCGGGTACCACAAGCCCAGCCTGGCTAGCACAAGCCCAGCCTGGGTGCCATAAGCCTGGCCTGGATGCTGTGAGCCCAGCTTGGGTACCACGAGCCCGTGCTTGCCCCAGCTCTCACCCCCTCAGCAGCACTCCCCAGCATGGCTGTATCCCTGCCGTGCCCCTGCTTGTCCTCGCGTTTTCCACGATCCCCTGCAGCCCCCACTCCCACTGGCACTCCCGGAGCCGGCCGGGTGGGGTGGTGGTGAGCAAGCTCCCGGGAAACCCCTGGGATTGGGGCAGGGGATGACCCCGGGGCAGCCAGGAGCATCCCACACCCCCACCCCGAG